TAGAGTTTCAGCAACCCCCAATACTGGCTTTCAGACAACCCTCCAACCTCAGAAATAAACTAATCAGTAGGAAACTTCCTTCTGATCAAAATGGCACAAATAATGGAAGCAAACCCTGCAATAAAAAATGTTGCAAACTGTGCAACCAAATCAATCCATCAAAAAGTGTCAGACACTCAAAAGGGATCTTCAATATTTCCGGATCATACAGCTGCACTTCTAGTAATGTTGTGTACCTTATCCAGTGCAGAAAATAGTACTGCCTGGACCTTGAAGAAGGGGACATACCCCGAAAGCTTGTCCTCAAAATTGTATGTTAGTGCAAATAAAAAAAGGATCACATCAATACTCAATTGTTTCTGTCACAAGTGCATTAATACGGCTACAATCACCTCAAGCAAAATGGAAGATACTTCTTTAGCTAACTGCAATGAACTTGCACAGCAATTTTCTTCAACCCTTCTCACCAGAAGATGCTCCTGTTGAGGTGTTAACTTCCGTGGATGGCCTGGATGTCTCTGTGAGATGGTTGCAGTTCCATCTTTATTAAATTTTTGTATCACTTTTGCTACAGTGTTCTGACTGATATGTAAAGCTTGCTGAACTTCTAGTAGCCTTCACCTCTCTTGTGTAAAGAAATTATTTTCTTTCTTATCCCTTTTTTCTTCCATTGTGTGTCATTGCTGACAGCATGAAATGCGAAGGGGTTTTCTTTGTTAAGTAACGCCCTTTTATAATCAACTGTCTGCTGGACAATGAATAATTAGACTTACCTGCAGTTGAATTTTTGTTAATTAGGATTTTGTTGTCTAAAATTTAGCTTTGCTCCAAAGACTTTCATTGGGGTGTATTCATTTTTGCAACATGGTCTTGAAATAATTTGTTAGAAAAAATACATTTTTGTGTGTGCAAATTAATAAATCTTGTTTGCAATCAATGGCTCACATTTGTGAAAGTATTTTGTAGTATAGTGTCCCATAGAAAATGTTGAATCTGAAAGGAAAGTAAAGGTTTTCTGACTAATTTGTTGGGGAGTACTCATTTATGCTGAGCACTGTACTTTACAATTTCCTCCTTAAAAGATAAGTTTAATAAAAAAAATAGTAATAAATGCACATTTTTGCAAGCAAAAAAAATTGCATTTAATATTTTTTCTTGGAAGGCTACAGAACATTGCACCCATGATTGGCAGATCACAGTTGCAATGTAAGGCTTCTGCAGATACTCATGGTAGCTATCTTCCCATATCTCCCATACAGGCAGACAGTAACTCAAGTCCAGGAAGATCAATGGACTATGGGAGGGCTCAACAGCACCCTCACAGTTCATTGAGAACTACATGCAATTTGCTTGGCTGGAAGATGGTACTTGTAGTTTATTAATGCATAGAACTCTGTAAATGAGTGATGCGACTTTGTGGGTGGAGCCCCACAGAGTCACCTTGTTTTTGAATTGTGACAGTAGGTGTGGGGAAAGGATCCCCTGTGGGATCCCCTTGTTACCTGCTACACCCTTAATATAGGTGTAACATGTAATATAACATGCAGGTACTGCTGCACGCTGTAGTCAAACTCCAATGTAAAGTGAATGGAAAACTGACATCAAATCCCAGTCCATCAGTCATGCACTAATGTATTCCACTGATATATTTCACCCACACTGGGCTTAATCGTATGGGTGAGCATGTCCTGTGGCAAAGGGATTGTAGCATTACTCCCTTAGGGATTGCTGATGAATTTGGGTCCCCCTATAGTTCTGCACAGCCAGTCATTAAGCATTTTCCACATAAGCTTTCATCCAGAGACAGAAATCAGTCCTTAAGCTTTGTTTTTGTTGTTTATTGAAGGGATTAGAACATGGATTGGATAAGGGGGTATAGAATGCCCAAGAGAACCGATATCTGAAGACAACTTCCTGAACTACTTACAAGCTTCTCTTCTTTAGCAACACAGTCTCTAGTGGAGTGCTAGCCATCAGCTCCTAGTTGAACCACTCCAGACCCTAGATTAACTCTGCTTCACCCAGCAGTCTGGAACCTTTGCAGAGCAGGGGATCTGGCTCCCTTTAAATGGTGAACAGTCACTAGTAGGGAGTTAATCTGGTTTCCCACCAGATTGCTCCTTCCCCTATCAACCCAGGGGGTGCAAGTGCACTTACTCAGATCCTCTCCTTTACTACTTGCGGGATGGCTGCTGCTACCAGTCCTATCAGCTGTGCTGCTCCTTCCCTGCCATACAGGTGGTCCTTGATGAGGGGGCCAGTGAGTCCTGAGTTTTCCTCCTTTTCAGCTCTAGACTCGCAAGCAGGCCCCATCCCACTAGGCCTCCTGGCAGCCTTCCTCCTCCAGCCTCACATCTTCCTACTTCTTCTTCCACCCGACTCCTCTCTCCACCACCACACACTCATACTGAGCAGACTCTTACACTTTTAAGGTTGTCCCAGTCCCTTGCCAAGCTTTCTGTTTGAGATTGGATGAGGTTCCTCAAGAGTGCAGCCAACCACTCCTCAAATCCACCCACTGCTTCCAAGACCCTCCTCCAAAAGCTTCAGAGCAGGGGCAAATTCCAGACGGGCTGGCCTGCAGAGTCTTTCAGCTCTGGCAACAATTTAACCCCTCTGGCTATCACACCAGACCTGCTAACCAGCTCCCGACTAACCATTAGGGTCTAGTGCCCTCTAGCTGAACTAGGAGGGTGCTAAAGGATATGGAAACGCACACATCACAAGCCAGGTGAAACTTAATGATTGTGAAAAGTGAACATGAATTAAGAGCAATAGATTCTGCTGCTTATCAGTACAATATCAAAAAATTGCACCGGCAAACTTGTTGTATGCATTGGTATGTGCATTGATCCAATATATGCCACATGAATAAAAAAGGGAGAATTGTAAAGAAAAAATTTGACCTCTGTGATTAAGCCCAATGTGAGTGAAACATGTTAGAAGGGTGTGACCGATGGGCTGGGATTGTAGCTGAAGCCAGTTTTTCATTCCCCTTACACTGGAGTTGAATGCAGTCTGCGGAGGTACCTGCATGCTATGTTATATATTGGAGTGAGAAGTGCTGTACAGTATTTCTGCCAGCACCTGACTACAGAGTGTAAACCTGGGAGACTGACACTGCAAGCTTGGAGCAGCGAAGATCTGTTTTAGTAACATGTAACATGTTACTAAAAGTGAACTTACCTTGTAAAGGCATAATCAAATCTGCCTGGGTTCATATTTGATTAAAATTCCGGAGACCGTGAAGCACACTGAAGTCTATAAGGATAAGGAAGGGGGGGGAGCAAATCCCATTCAGTACATTCTGGGAATTGTTGGGGCTATCGGGCCAAAAAAGTGTTTAAAAGTACCATACAATGGGGAAAGGGGCCCTTTTTTTGTGGTTCAAAGTGCAGCATGCAAAAAAAAAAAAATCTTTAATTCTTTCCATTACAAAATTGGGGGATGTCTTAAAGTTGTATGTTTTGGAGAATTTCAGCAATTTTAGCAATGGCATATGCTTTTTCACCAAGGTGTAATAGGCCAGGTTTGCCTGACAAATACAAATTGGCCAGTTGTTCACTTAAACTGCCCGTGGTTGCGCTGATGCAAGACTGCCCTACTGTTGACCAATTTCTATCAACCTCTTATGAATTTAACCACTAGGGGACCGCCCACAGTACATATACTGCTACAAGGCGGCCCCTGTGCGCAGGATCACGTATATAAACGTGATCCTGCATTCCGGGGTAGGCGCACGCCCGCAGTACCGATCGCAGGTGTCAATCACCGGGTCCTGGCCGGTAATTACCCGCTGCAGCCCGGCGATTGCCAGCAAACACAGACAGGGAGGAAGGCTGCATTGTTTTCAATTGAGCTCTTCCTCCCTGTCAGCTTCATCACACTGCTCCGGAATTGCTGGACACAGCCTTCCGGAACAGTATGTAACAGAGAGATACACACCCCCCGCCCCCTAGTATAACACTCCCCTCACACAGTTAACCCTTTCATTGCCTCCCAATGTTAACCCCTTCCTCCCCAGTGACCCAAAGTCAGTTCCCCCCAGTGTTAGAATGTCCACCACAGTCCCCGCCATAAGTTGCTGATCGCCACCGCCATAAGTCGCTGATTGCCGCCATAAGTCCCTGATCGCCACTATTATTAGTATTAAAAAACAAAGTCCAGTATCTATGCCGCCATTTGTAAACGCTATAACGTTCACGTAAACCAATTGACTTACACGTATTGGGATTTTTTTTTAGCAAAGACATGTCGCAGAACACATTTTGGCCAAAATTTATGACGAAATTTGATTTTTAAAATTTTTTTACTGGATATGATTTATAGCAAAAAGTCCAAAATATTGTTTTTGTTCTCAAAATTGTGGGTCTTTTTTTTTATAGCACGAAAAATAAAAAATGCACGGGCAATCAAATACCACCAAAAGAAAGCTCAATTCGTGGGGAAAAAAGGATGTAAATTTCATTTTGGTGCAGCATTGCATGGCCGCGCAATTGTCAGTTAAAGTAATGCAGTGCCGTAACACAAACCGCTTATGTAACCGCTTCCTGACTGCCCTATAGCAGAAATACTGCTACAGGGCGGCACAGGTGCACAAAATCACATATATATATGTGATTCGCTCTCCCGTGGTTTTCACGATCCTTCCAGATAGCGTCAGATTGCCGTCAGTACACCAGTAATCACATTTAACCCCTTGATTGCCAGGAAGACTCTCATACACAATAAACCTCCATTGCTAGTATAGTGTCTGAACGGATCAATATCTTTGATCAGATCAGCACTATACCAGTGTTCACATTAGTATAGCGTTCCCAAAAATGCAGCGTTAGCGAGATCAGCCCCGGCACCTGCCAGCACATACGTTTAGCCCCTAAGCTTACACCCCCCTTCTCCCCCAGCAAGTACAGTGTCAGTAGGTCACTGTCACTTGATACATAAAACCGCAGTGTTGGCAGAATCAGGCCTGATCTCTGTTTGCACTTTTCGGTAAATTTTGATGACTCTCATATGCAGCAGAGTGCCAGTACTAGTGCCATGTGAACCTTTGGTGAACTGGCGAGCACCAGCGGTCTAGTACATCCTGGTCTTTCACATACCTCTTATATTGTAAGCTCCCAGGATCAGGCCCGCCTAACCCTCTTGTATTGAATTGTATTGTTCTGTATTGTCCCCCATTATATTGTACAGCGCTGAGCAAACTGTTGGCACCATATAAATCCTGTATAATAATAATACCAGCACTGCAGTATCACTTGGCGACGTGGCGAGTCCCATAAGTCCAATACAGGCTGGTGCGGTGCGGTGGTGAGCAAAAGTATTGTCCTGCAACCACCAAGAATTCTCACACAGGTCCGTAGAGCCCTTAGTATCCTTCCGGATGTGTTTTCAAATCCCGATTGGCAGCCCACAAATTCTGCAGCGCCCATACTTCCCCTATTCACTGCCCAACCCGGAATTCAGGTGGAAATAGCAAATTTAACTACTCCCCTTGATTTTTGGACCCGTTTTTCACGGAAGCTCTGTATGCATTGATTGTGGATCAAACCATTTTATATGCACAACAATGTATCACAACCTGCCAACCCAAATTCAAACCTTGCCAGACCATTCGCATGGAAACTCATTAGGGTTTCCGAATTTATAATTTTTTTGGGCCTAACCCTCAACATGGGCATTACTAAAAAAAAATGAATTGTGGTTGTATTGGTCCACAGACCCGATTCATTGTATGCCCGTGTTCTCTGCTGCCATGGCCAGGCATAGATATGAGAGTATAATGTGTTTTATGCATTTCAACGACAACACACTCTGTCGTCCTCGGGGTGATCCTGAATTTGACCAGCTCCAAAAAATTCAGCCCCTCACAAATCACATTAACCAAAAATGTGCAGATTTCTATACTCCCCAGTAAAACATCTGCGTTAATGAGTCCCTCATTATTATTATTATACAGTATTTATAAAGCGCCAACAGTTCGCTCAGCCAGCACTGTACATTACAAAGGGAGACAGAACATGCAACAGTACGAAAACAATACAATGTGATACACGAGGGGTTCGAGGGCCCTGCTCTTTCAAGCTTACAATCTAGGAGGGAGGGGATAGTGGTACAGGAGGAGATAGCTGTGGGGAATGGAGTGGTAGGAAGAGTGGAAGAGGTCGGCAATTAGCACGGGGTGGGGTAGACTTCCTTGAAGAGGTGGGTTTTCAGGGTGCGGCTAAATGAGAGGAGAGTAGGTGATAGTCTGTTGGATTGGGGTAGGGAATTCAAGAGGATGGGTGACGCCCTGGAGAAATCTTGGAGGCGGGCATGGGAGGAGGAGACTAGGGAACTAGAGAGAAGGAGGTCTTGTGAGGAGCGGAGAGTGCGTGTTGAGTGGTACTTGGATATTAGGTCAGTGATGTAATTTGGGGCAGTATGATGGACAGCTTTGTATGTCTGTATTAGGATTTTGAATTTGATCCGTTGTGCAATCTGAAGCCAGTGGAGGGATTTGCAGAGGGGGGGGGTGGCGGAAACGGAGTGGTTGGTGAGATGAATGAGTCTGGCTGCCGTGTTCAGGATCCACTGAAGCGGGGATAGCCTGTGGCGAGGCAGGTCAGTGAGGAGGGAGTTGCAGTAATCGAGTCGTGATGTGATGAGGGAGTGGATGAGCTGCTTAGTGGTTTCTGGGGTTAGGAACGTTCGGATTTTGGCGATGTTGCGGAGGTGGAGTCTGCATGAGTTAATTAGTGATTGGACTTGGGGCTGGAAGGATAGGTTGGAGTCCAGAATGACACCAACTACTCTGCGGGGCGGGCCTGATAGTGGCATTGTTGGACGTGATGGAGAAGTCAATGGGGGGTGGTGTGCGAGCTGGGGGAAGACTAGGAGCTCAGTTTTGGAGAGGTTCAGTTTAAGGAAGTGGAGCGACATCCAGTCTGATATGTTGTTTAGTAGGTTTGTGATTCGGGCAGAGACAGAGGTGATGAGGCGAGGGGTAGAGAGGTAGATTTGTGTGTCGTCGGCATAGAGGTGGTAGTTGAAGCCGCGAGAGTGTATGAGTTGGCCAAGGGAGGAGGTGTAGACGGAGAAGAGAAGGGGCCCGAGGACGGAGCCTTGAGGGACCCCAACAGAGAGGGGGAGCGAGGTGGTAGCATTATATGTAACGCTGAAGGAGCGTTGTGATAGGTAGGATGAGAGCCAGGAGAGAGCAGAATCTCTGAGGCCGAGGGAGTGAAGTTTTTTGAGGAGGAGGGGGTGGTCGACTGTGTCAAAGGCAGCGGAGAGGTCAAGGAGTAGGAGCACTGAATAGTGGCTGTAAGCTTTGGCAGTTAGTTTTTCTAATTTCTAATATTTCTGGCCGCCTTGCATTCAATTTCTCCCCAGCAAGTGTGCCAGATATGGGGTCAAGATGTAGAAGACATGTGAGAGGACAACAGGCTATACTTATAAGTTTCGGATTTATGAGGGAAAAGATAGTCACGTGGCGCCCCCCGGATGCTCAGACTACATCGGGAGTAGTGGCAAGATAGTTTGGGACTTGGTGTCATCCTTTTTCCATATGGGGTACCACTTATACGTGGACAATTTTTATTAAGCGTGCCACTATTTAGACATTTGTACAATTCTGGAACTGGTGCATGTGGCACCGTGTGACCTAATGTGTGCCTGCCATTAGAAGTGGGTGGATGCAGGGCAGTATATTTTAATGGTGGGCATACCACACATTTTTTTTTGGCAGAGATTTCTTCTCTATTTTTCATTCAGTCCACAGGCTGCATAAAAAGAACATAGCATATACACCCAACAAGGACCAGTGATGTACTGGTACATCACTGAACTTTGAATGGTTATACCATTATTATTATTATACAGTATTTATAAAGCGCCAATAGTTCTCTCAGCGCTGTACATTACAAAGGGGGACAGAACATGTGACAGAACAATAACAATACAATGCAAAACATGAGGGGATCGAGGGCCCTGCTCTTTCGAGCTTACAATTTAGGAGGGAGGGGATGGTGGCACAGGAGGAGATAGCTGTGGGGGATGGAGTGGTAGGAAGAGTGGAGGAGGTCGACAAGTTAGCAGGGGGTGGGGTAGGTTTCCCTGAAGAGATGAGTTTTCAGGGTGCGCCTAAAGGAGAAGAAAGTAGGTGATAATCTGATGGGTTGGGACAGGGAGTTCCAGAGGATGGGTGACACCCTGGAGAAGTCCTGGAGGCAGGCATGGGAGGAGGACACCAGGGAACTAGAGAGAAGGAGGTCTTGTGAGGAGCAGAGTGTGCCTGCTGGGTGGTACTTGGATATTAGGTCAGTGATGTAGTTCGGGGCAGTGTGGTGGACGGCTTTGTACGTCAGTGTTAGGATTTTGAATTTGATCCGTTGCACAATCGGAAGCCAGTGGAGGGATTGGCAGAGGGGGGCGGAGATGGAGCGGTTGGAAAGGTGAATGAGTCTGGCAGCCGTATTCAGGATCGACTGAAGCGGGGATAGCCAGCGGCGAGGCAGGCCAGTGAGGAGGGAGTTGCAGTAGTCGAGTCGTGATATGATGAGGGAGTGGATGAGCTGTTTAGTGGTTTCTGGGGTTAGGAACGTGCGTATTTTGGCGTTGTTGGATGTGATGGAGAAGTCAATGGGGGGTGGTGTCCAGGCTGGGGGGAAGACAAGAAACTCGGTTTTGGAGAGGTTCAGTTTAAGGAAGTGGAGCAACATCCAGTCAGATATGTCGCTCAGTAGGTGTGTGATTCGGGTGGAGACTGAGGTGGTGAGGTGGGGGGTTGAGAGATAGATTTGTGTGTCGTCGGCATATAGGTGGTAGTTGAAGCTGTGAGAGTGTATGAGTTGGCCAAGGGAGGAGGTGTAGATGGAGAAGAGAAGGGACCTGAGGACGGAGCCTTGAGGGACCCCAACAGAGAGGGGGAGTGAGGGGGAGGTGGTAGCATTATAGGTAACACTGAAAGAGCGTTGTGACAGGTAGGATGAGAGCCAGGAGAGAGCAGAATCTCTGAGGCTGAGGGAGTGTAGTTTTTTTTGAGGAGGGGGTGGTCGACTGTGTCGAAGGCCGCAGAGAGGTCAAGGAGTAGGAGCACTGAATAGTGGCCATTAGCTTTGGCGGTTAGCAGGTCGTTGGAGAGTTTGAGTAAGGCAGTTTCGGTGGAGTGTAGGGGATGGAAGCCGGACTGTAGGGGATCGAAGAGGTTGTTGTCATTGAGGTGTGTGCATGTTTCAGAGGGGAGGGGAAAGTGCCAGAGGAGAGGGAGAGATTAAAGATGTGGGTGAGGGAGCGAAGGATGGAGGGGGAGGGAGGTCGTAGGAGTTGTGAGGGGATAGGGTCGAGGGGGCAGTTGGTGAGGCGGGCATCAGAGAGGATCTTGGAGACTTCCTCGATGGTAGTAAGGTCAAAGGTGTGAAGTGTTGGGGGGGCTTCAGTATGAGGAATGTAGGGTGGGGTGGAAGTGGAGGTCAGAGCAGTGGTGGGGCCGTGGGAGAGGGGTGATGAGGGGGTAGCTGAGTGAGGGGGAACGGGGTTGGAGGGAGTTTGAGCAGCGATGAAGTCCCTGCGGGTTATGTCGAGGGAAAGGGGGGATGAGGGGGTAGCTGTGTGAGAGGGGACAGGTTGAGAGGGCGTGTGAGTTGCGGCGATGTCCTTGCGAATTGTGTCAATCTTGTTTTTGAAGTGATTGGCAATCTCAAGGGCAGTGAGTGAGGTGCTGGGTGGAGGTGGGGGTGGCGAGAGTAGAGCGTTGAAGGTGGAGAAGAGTCGGCGAGGATTGGAGGAGAGGGCCTTGATGAGGGTCAGGAAGTAGGCTTGTTTGGCTGCGTGGAGGGAGGAGGTGTAGGTGTGGAAGGCAGATTTGTAGTGGGTGAAGGCTTGTTGGGATTTGGTTTTGCGCCATAGTCGCTCCAGGGCACGACTATGTAGTTTGAGGGTTTTGGTGTGATCAGACTGCCAGGGCTGGAGCGGTCGGGGTCTGATGTTGCGTGTAGTTAAAGGCGCTAGTGAGTCAAGGGCTGTTGACAGCGCGTTGTTGTAGGCAGTCATAGCCAAGTCGGAGCAGGACAGGGGGAGGATGCTGTCGTGGAGTTGATCAGCTGCAGAGTGGAGGGGGGCAGGGTTAAGGTTGCGGAGGTTACGGCTGGTAGTAGTGTGACATTTGGAGGGGTAGGCATTGGAGGACAAGGAGATAGAGAAGGTAATCAGGTTGTGGTCAGAGAGAGGGAAGGCGGTGTTAGTGAAGTTGCAGGGGAGCACAGCGGTTGGAGAAGACAAGATCAAGGATATACCGTTGGAGCTGCAGGCAACATCCTGGTATCATTTTTTTCAGCTGGCAATTGGCTTTCATGTAAAATCAATACTAGTGGCTAATTAGCTGCAGGATTGCTTTTACAAGCAGCGGAAGACAATACTCCCCTCCCCTGCTGCCTTCCACGGCCTTCTCGGGCAGTCCCGAGCCATCAGGGGAAGCTGAG